AAGAACACTAAAAAATTCTAAATTTTAGTTCATGCAAGGTATGCTTTGAATTCAGTTGAAGTCAGTAGATTTACAAAAATAAGAATTTTTTTTTATTGTGTACTACTTCAAAACATGAACTTAAAAAAATAATAATCTTAAAATAAGCTGTTTCATAAATTAATTTTGATTAGATTACATAACATTAATGTTTCTTTATTTCCGTGTTTTACTAGATAAAATCCATAGTAAATGATTGGGTGATCTTAAGTTTCTGTTATTAGTTCTTAAAAGCAGTTAAAATTCACAATGTTAAGTAGTTCCCTACAAAGTTCCAGGATATTGTTCATTTACATATACTACATTAAATGTAGCATAAATAATTCTTCATTATGGAGAAGAAAAATAAAACAGCATGATCAAATGCTGTTATAAAGCACTAGTTGAAAAAGTAGCAGTTCAATAATGTTTTAGATCCACTGCTACAGTCTAGTGATATATATATATATATTTCAACAGCGGACTGTAGCAGTGACATACTTTCAATAAGTGGCTTGGCATATGCTGTAATAAATTAAGCTTGAAATTGAGAAAACTGAGATGACAATTCTCATTCTTCTCTAGTTAAAATTAACAGCATGCTACTGATACCACTGCATGGTTTGAACCAAATAATCACATATCTACGATAAGATGTATGAATAATAACTGCAACACCTCTGAGTTAACTTCTAGCATCTCATATTTAGTCAAAATTGGAGATGTCTTTTGAACAATCTGTAATTGATGGAGCCAAATAAACTTCCATAATACACATTTCATTAAAATACTATCAATCCTAATCAGAAGGTAACTCCTGTAAAGATGAAATATTTTATGTTAATACTAACGAATTTTTGTCCAAAAGCTTTTTATGATGTGGTTATATACAACTGGAAGTTAAGCTGCTTCTATGAAGGTGCCCATTCATTAATAAAAAATATAAATGATGTACTGTACTGTATTTCAATATGTAAAGTCAGAGGATATTCATTATGATTAGCTGTAAAATTAACATCATGAGAAGACAGCCTGTTGTTTTTCTGCAGAAATGTCAAATTGGATAAATTATAAAAAAAGAAAAGGCTAACTTCTTTTAACCATTAGCAAATCAGACACAAATCCTCTGTGACTTTTGTTTTGCCAATGAAGAAGAAAGAAACCCAAATTGTGAACACACATGGTTCCCCAGCAATTTATGATGAAAATGTTTGTATTTTGGAATCACAAAAAAATAAAAGCTCAAATCAATTTGCCTCTGTCAACTAACAAATGCTAAATTCCATTAATGAGGTTGTCAGAAAAAAAAACCCAAATATTAAGAACTGATGTTTAAGAGATTTCTCAGTTTCATAATCAAAATGATAAACTGAGGTCACTGACCTATATTTCAGTATATGATAAACTACATTTAACTAATGTAACAGAAGAAAAAAAAATAACAGAGAGCAATTAGTAAGTTAAGTATCAATGTAACTAGATTAGTAAATCACAATAAAGTTCAGACAAAAAAGTTATGTAAAATTTGCTTAATCCAGCAGTTTTCTGTTCCATCCTTGAATGCTAAGTGTTTTAGATAGATCTAAGTTGATTGTCTGATGCTCTACAGTTTGATGCCAACAGGTAGGGAAGGTAGCCATACAGTAAAATAACATTTTGTCATAACCCTCTTCAGCCATACAGTAGCCTTACCTAGCTGCTGGCATGCAAACTCCAGGGTATCAGCAAATACAGACTTTAGCCTCTTCACATACTCTTATGGACACTGTGGTACATTTGCCCTAGGGAGAGGACCCAAATATGTTTGATACTCAGAAACATGAAAATGTAATCAATTTTTCATGTTGATTTAAAAGTTTTACTTTTTTCTTTCTGTTAGGAAGAGAAAAAACAAACTATTATTATGCTTAGGGTTCTGAATTAAAGATGTCTGTGATGACTTTTGCCAGAAAACAACAAAAACTATTATTTTGGCAGTGTAATAATCATTTGCAAGCTATTGACAGCTGTGTGAATAGTTCAAATACAGATGTTTCTAAAATGTAAGAGGTTCATATTAGTTTTTAAATTTAGTTATTCCTTTTGAATAAAAGATTTTTCTTACAGTTATTACCAAGTATGGAGTTTTTTAATCCATGCATTTTGAAGAGCTCAGATATGTTTTTTTTAAAACAGCCTTGTTTTTTTTGTTTGTATTTGAAATAAAGTGTACTAATTTCTTTAATATCAATGAAATCAAACAATGGATATAGTAAAAAGGACATTTTGTCAGTGTTAAAATACCACCTAAATTACCTTGCATCAAGTAATATTTAACTACTAATACATCTATGCTATTTGAATCTGGTTTTAAACAATGAATGAAGCCTTTCTTTCACAAGACTTCAAGTGTATATATAATTCAGTCAAAAAAGTGGTCAATTAGATTTCAATAAAGGATAATCCTATTATTACCAAATCAATCCACATTTTCATTCCTATTCAACAAATTTAACCCTTTTAAGAAATTCTGAGTAGTTTATGAAATTTGCAAATATGTAAAGTCCAACATATCTTCACAAGAATATTGCAGCATTAAACACACAGGAAGGAACTTCTGTTATTTATTCTGAAGTGTAACATCAGTTCAAGTTGAAAATCTTTAGACTACAAGATACTTCAAAGTCTTGATTTGTTTTTTGTATGTCCTGACTTACTGGGTTGAAATCATATAGACATAACATTGAACCTAAACATCATTTAACCTTTCATAACCAATTCTTTGGAATAGATCAAATGACCAAGGAGGAAATTACATAGGGTACTGTGGTATAATCATCTTAAGACATCTAGTATTTTAAACACTGCAAGACAAGAATGCAATTAAGGAAGGGTGCCATGGCTGGTTAATTAAGTACCATAAAGTGGAAATATGAAAATACAATGTGATATTCATACTGACAATTTCTAAGGAACTCTTGTCTCCTTTTCTATGTGCTGTTTGATATGCCCATTTCAAAATCATGGAGAATCTAGCCTTATGCACAAGAATATCACTTTATTCTAAGGAGATTTTGTCATAAAATAATTCTGCATCACAGCTTCTCAAAACATTACTTATTTAATAGGAATAAAACAAAACTCATAGAAGAGAGGAACATTTTTTTTTTGTATTTTATAAGCTCCATGTAATACTTCTATTTTTTCCCAAAATATCAACACAATGAGCCAGGATTTTTAAACCCTCCATTCATATTATTATCCATATTCTCCAGTTTTATAATGTAAACATAGTTGTAAATAGTGGTCAATCTGAAAAGGTTTTCTTTCTCCACTTCTGCAATTAGAATTTTTAATGTATTACATAGTAATATGTACAAGTCCTACAAAATGTACTTGTTATACTTGCATATGAAAATTGTTGAATATACAAGTGTAAATGAAAGTTTTTGTTCTACTACCAATGTGCAATAAAATTTAAATGACAACTGTTTAAAACTTAATTCGATGACGAGGAACCCACTTTGAGACTAATAATGGCTGGAGACGGATTGAATGGGTAATGAAGAAAAACTTTAATATAAGTTTAACATAACAGCAAATGTACAAC